AAATTTTTAGTGGATTATACTCCCAAGAACGTCCTTTATCTGTGATAAAAGTTTGGATATATATTAATATATTATAAGTTGGTACAATCTCGCGCGCAGTTTTTTAATTTAATATGGCTCGATATATAAATTTAAATTGATAATCGTCGATATCTCCAAATGAGGATTTTGTCTCAGAGCATGGTTTTGCTGTGTACCAACCCGTTGTATATATTTAATTCACAAATTTTTTATCATGTGATGATATATAAGACGATGTACGGTGCATACAGAATATGCGATTCAAATTTTTCGCGAAACTTTGATCACAATGAGATTGGTTAGTTCTTCATCAATATCATTTTCAATTAGGGCTTTATATTATGTTTCGAAATATATAATTCCTTTGTGTTTTTGGTTAGCAACCTCTTAGTCGCGACAGTCGTTCGAATTGTTTCTTGATAAAACTAAAACAAATGAATTTTTTGATCGATTGCGGATTAAACACGTCAGAATTGATCAAGTCTTCACCCCGAGATAATCTGACTTCTCGTGCTCAAACCGTATTATCAGAGATCGATGGTATCAACGATGACATGGAGCTCTTGTTATCGGGAGAAAACGAAGTCAAACGTGCTAAACTTGATACCTCGGTTGAGCCGAATGGAATTAATGGCAGGCGAACTCGCGGGCAATTTCTCGTCGAAACTCCAGAATTCTCTAATGTAGACTGGAGTACTATAGATTTTATCTTGATCACAAATTACAGACATATGCTTGCCTTGCCTTATGTTACCGAGTATACGGATTTTAAGGGAAAAATATATGCCACGGAACCTACGGTCATATTTGGATGGTAACCGATTTATCGCACAATGTTTCATATAGTGATCTGGAATCAACTGAATAATAAGTCTTAGTACATCAATGCATTTTATAGTCAGATGATGAAGGAGTTGGTACATTATTTTGGCGAAAGTTCGATAAGTAGGTTGACAAAAAGTCGAAGCCACACGACCAATGGGTAATATAAATTTTTTAATTGAACGCGATGGGAGAAATGAAGTTAATTTGTTTAATGCGATCTCAGAACTAAGATTTTCACTGGATTCACTCCTGAAATGAATATGGCACAATCATTGTACTCATTGTCCGACGTACAATCTTGTGTAGACAAAATCCAACAAGTGAGATACGGTGAAAAATTGGTTGGTATGCAACTTATTTCAATTATCGTTTTCTATACATATTGACAATGGTAACTTTTCATCACACTTCAGATGCTATTTAAACTTCAAGTCACGGCCTACAGTTCAGGATATTGTCTGGGAAGTGCAAACTGGCTGATAGATTGTGATTCTGAAAAGGTGAATTGATTTTACCTATCAACTCACGGCTTATCATTACAAAAGTTCGCGAACTCATTCATCACCAGATTTCCATAATATCATCTTCTTCCATTGTCACCAATATTCATCCATTACCATTTAGCAAAAATGCGTTAAGTGATGCTAATGTTGTTATCCTCAATGACTTACGTAAGAGTGACGACTTAAGATTGGAATCTACTTTGCAGAGTATTGGGGGGATAGTCGGTCTGTCATCACATAAATCCATTAGATCGACCACGTCGTCTTTTTTTTTTTTAACAAACGATTCTTTTAATTATTATTAGCAAGGGTTTTAAGGGACAAAGGAAATGTATTGTTCCCTTGTAATATGAACGGCGTGGTGTTTGATATAATAAGTTCACTCTGGAGACAGTTAAACGCCGAAGGGCTTGATCGCGTCCCATTTTATGCAATCTCTCCTATCGCCGAAGAATCTCTTAAATATTCAAATATATCTGGAGAATGGTATTTAAATATCATCGTGATTTATTGGGTGCAATGTGAATGATGCTAACGATAAAATATTTTAGGATGTGCGAAGAAAGGCAACAAAAGATGTACCTACCGGAAAATCCTATGGTTCACAAAGATATGATCGACAAAAATCTATTATTTTACGCGGCTCGCGCTGACAGTTCACTTCAAGAGATCTATCGAGAGCCGTGCGTTGTATTTGCTGGTCACCCATCTTTACGTAGCGGTGCAGCGATTAATTTTATTAGGAAGTGGGGAAATAACTCGAAGAACTGTATGATTTTTACAGGTAAAATAAAATCTACGCGTTCATTCACTCTTTGTACAAGGAAATAATGAATTTTTAAATTCAGAATCAGAATATGATTTCAAGGAAGCAGTGTCAGCTTTTGAAGGATTGCAAATAACATCTGAATATCTTCCCATCGATATACGACTAACTGTCGAAGAAGCGACCAACATCTTACAAGAATTGAAACCACGTCATGTCTTATTACCACGTGAAATCGTAGACGACATGAACAATAATAATATATTAAAAACTTTACCATCATCATTGGTCACCTTCTATAACTGTTTGGATAACTTGAGTGTGTCCATAAATTCTCAATATGCACGGACTTACATGAATGACAAAGTAGGAAGTTACTTGTGTTTATTTTCTATCTTGCGCTGAATTTTGTGAATTTAATTTCAATCAGCTTGCAGCAGAAATTTATCCAACAGACGTGGATCGATCAAAACTCGCGGTAATTAATGCTAACTTGAAACCAATTGGCAATCAAGTTTCGCTACTTTCCAGAAGCCATAGCGAATTATCGAAACCTACATATTTACTAGGAAGAATTAACGTCACAGAACTGATGAATCAGTTTACCCAGCAGATAGTAAGTTGTGAAGCCAACGTATATTTAATATAAAAGATTACATGCATGAACTAAATTTGACAGCTTTCCTAACCAATAATATATCTTTATTTATTTATTTAGTATGGATGTAGAGTCTCGCTAGAAGAAGATGTAGATAATTCGGTAGTTATTATTTATATCGAATCTCCCAGAGTTGTCATCAAACTAAACGGTAACAATATAAATGTCGAGACCCAAGATAACGAGACCAGAAAGATGGTACAAAATATTTTATTTAAACAATTGGTGGTATTATAGATAAACCAACTCACGTGAGACAAGTGGATGTTGACTGTAGTTTCCCTTGAAATTGAATCCAATATGAATAAATAAAGTTAGTCTTTACTATGCATATCGTATCCCATATAGGTTCA